CACACACACACACACACCTATACCTCTGGCCTATAACACAGTTCTTGTATGCATAAATAAATAAAATAAATCTTTTTAAAAATGAAGTACACTTAGCCATCAGTTTAAAGAAAACTAGATGAATTAGGGATAGGTGAGAAGTGAATAAATTAGTGAAAAACAAAAAGTTGTCAAGAAAGAAAATGTAATTTTAACATTTTACATACGAACATGTAACATGCATAGACACTTCCTGTGGACTACCATATGGGAAACCTTAAGTAATAGTTCGTTTGTGTGTACTCATCAAAAATTTATTGGACATTATTTTTTAAATATTATTTGAAGTGCTATAAATATAATTAATAAGGCTTCACTCTGGAGATTTTATTCAATTCTGTTCATATCCAGAGTCTAATTTTCCTCTAATTTAAATACTAGTTTACATTATCAGTGGCAAAATTTAATACTAACGTATAGTTTTTATTGAAACTAGCAAAACCTGATTTAAACAGTTTTGTTTGGAGTGGGGAATGGGATCAAAAACAGGTGGGGGAGGGAAGTGCACAGGACTATGGTGATGGCACATGGGTGACTTGGTGATGGGAAACCCAATGGGATTACAATTGAGATTTTTTTAAAAAAATGTACAAAATGGGCCCTCCCTGGTGGCGCAGCGGGTTAAAGCACAGCACTGAGAAGCTAAAGCCACTTCCGCATGAGTTCGATTCCCGCCTGCCCCGGAGGAGATCCACATGGCTGGCAGACCTCTCCTGACCTGCCCACTGCTCCCCTCAGCAGTGTACCTCATCAATCTGCCTGTTCTGCTCCCCACTCTGTCTCTGGTGAAGCCTCTCACCGCCCCTGAGCCTCTGGCCTGTACCCCACTCTGTATGCACAAATAAATCTTTAAAAAAAAAAATGTACAAAATGATGTAAAAAAAAACTATTATATTATTTTAAAAAATAAACAGTTTTGTTTGGAAAGATTAAATGAGGAAAATGGATCTCCTCGAATGTCAGATTAAGTCGTATATCTTCTAATATGTTATATTAAACAGTTTCATGTTCAAATTTCTGAACATGTAATGGACAGAAAGTGGGCTTCTCTATTTTGAAATATAATGAAAATGTTTAATCAAGAACAAGGAAAAGATGTACCCCTCATTCTTTTTGAACATTGTAGTAGAGGTTCCAATACAAAAAGAAAATAAAGGAAATAAAAATACACAGATTGGAAAGCAAAAACACTTTTTTATTCACAAATAGCATGCTCATCTATTTAGAAAATCTTAAAGGAAAAGAAAAAACAACCAATAAGCAAGGTTGCAGGATTCAGGTTCATATGGAAAAGTCAATTAATTTCCAGCAATAAACAAAAAAATTATACTGAGGTAATAATTAACAAGATGCATATAAGATTTAAGTGAGGGATATTATAAAATTCTTATGAAAGAAATCAAAGAACTAAATAAACTAAGAGTTATTATATGTGATAGATAGAAAGACCCAGTATTGACAAGATATCAGTTCTTTCTGCTTAATCTACAGATTCAGAGCCATCCCATCAAAAACCCAGCAAGGTAATTTCATGGATATTAACAAACCGTTGCTAAAGTTTTTGTGGAAAGTCAGAGGACCCAAATAGCCAATACAGTGTTAAAGGAAAAAAAAACAGGGAATTACCCCTACATAACTTTAGGACATTACAAGGCTATAGTAACCAAAACACTATGGTATTAACAAAAGATTAATTAGATCAATGCAATAGAATAGAGAGCTCACAAATAGACTCACATAAATATAGGCAACTTAATTTTTGACAGCGCAAATGCAAGAAAATGAAGAATAGAATCTTATCAAGTAATTGGGATAACTGGATATCCACATGTAAAACAATGAATCAACCCAGATATTATACCACTCACGAAAATTAACTCAAAATTGATCACAGACTTAAAATGTAAAACTATAAAGCTCCTAGAAGATACGTGGAATGTCTGACTAACCTTAGGTTTGATGATGACTTTTTACAAAAAGTATCAAAAGCCTGATCATGACAGAGAGAAATGGTAAGATGAACATCATTAAAATTTAAAACTTCTGCTCTGCAAAAGACAATGTCAGGAGAATGAGAAAACATGATACAGTGAGAAACAAATGTATACCAAAAAATACATCTGATACAGGAGCTGTCCAGTACAAAATTCTTGAAACTCAACAGTAAAAACAAACCAACTTAAAAAATAGATCAAGACTACAGTAGGTACATCATCAAAGAAGACACAAATATGATAAGCACATGAAAAGATGCTCTACATCATATATTTTCAGGGAACTGCAGTTTTAAAACAATTAGATACTACTACACACCCAAAATTCAGATAGAATGGCCAAAATATGTAACACCAAATGCTGCTGAGAAAGTGGAGAGCAAAACTCTTATTCATTGTAAATCAAAACAGAAGACAGTTTGGGAGTATCGTACAAAACCAAAATGTCCTTACCATCAAACCAGCAACCACCATTCCTAAGTATTTACCAAAAGCAGCTGAAATCTGATGGCTACACCAAAACCTGCATACAGATAATTATATCAGCCTTATGCATAATTGGCAAAACGTGGAAGCAGTCAACATGCGTGTCACTAACTGGATGGATAAACTGTGGTATCTGTAAAATATTTAGCGTTAAAAAGAAATGAATGTCAAGCCATGAAGAGATAGAAGAACCTTAAATACATATTAAGTTAAAAAAAAGTCTAACTGAAAAAATTACATACTACATGACTACAAGTATATGAAAATGTGGAGAAGGCAAAAACTGGTAACAGTAAAAAGATCAGTTCTGTTGCCAGTAATTGTGGGAAAGATGATATTGCTGTGAAAAGAAAACATTAGTTGATACAGTATTCTGAGTAAATTTTATACGTCTTTAATGGAAGGGAATCTGTTTCATCATGTGGCATATTTCATTTTCACATCCAGTTATGTTCCTATTTTTAGTTCAAGTCCTTTCATCCTGAGCCTATCATTCCATCTAATTGAACTTTTTTTTTCCATTTATACAACCTTCTCTTTCCCCTTAGCACTAACTACTTGAATGAACATCTCGCTTTCACAATTTAAGATTCAACTCATCAAATCTTAATTTTTTTACAGAATTGTTTCCTAAGCTTTTTTTGGATAATGTCTTAGCCCACCTGAAGGACACATAAGAAATAGTTGGATTTTGTATTATGTACTTCATTAATATTTTAAACATACCTGTTTTCAGAAAAGCTTGTGTCTTTTCTTCCATATGAAATGATTATTCATTTTGAGACCTACTCAAACTACTTACCTAATATTTAATGCCAATATGTAATTCTTTTGTTAACCAAATCCCAAGTTTTGGCATAGTTCTTGTCCTCCTAGAGTCTCTTTAATTCAGTACCACCAACTAGCCTGTCCTCAGATTTAATTAAGAATGTATAGTCATATATTATCACAGTAGTTTATATTCACATACTATTTGTTGAGCACCTACCATGTGCTAGCCAATATTCATAGACATTCAAAATCTAACACTGAACAATATTAAGTGGCATTGGACAAGCTAAAGAAATAAAGACTAGCAAACCAACAAATTGAATCCATAGAGCCATGCTGTCTCCAGTGTTACTTACTAGCTAAAAGAGGCTAATTTTATTGTGAAATTTAAAATTCAGTTCTGCAGTTGCAGCTATTTCAAATACTAACTACACTCTGTGACTATTGGTTACCAAAGTTTTTCCATCAACATGAAAAGTTTTATCAGACAGCCCTGTTCTGAGATAAGGAACAAACATGAAAATTTTCAGGCCTATCCAGAATTTAAAATATGTTGTAAAATACTTTGACTCCTAAATTGAGAAGTTGATCATATGCCCAGAGTCCTAAAAAGATCACAGCAACTAGGTTGTGTTGTTATGTAGTTGTTCAGTATGTGGAGGAGGAAAGCAAAAATAAATAATTCAGGATGACACAGATGTATTTCTCTGATTATATGACAGAAATACCAATGTGCCTACCCCACCAATGCCAGCTTGAAGGGAATTTTTTGGGTTTTGAACAACTTTCTAAAAAGTTTACATCTATCTCCCCTTTTAAAAAAAAAATGTTTTTAAAACTCACCTAATAATGTCTTCATCATTATTATTTGTTTCTGTGTTGACCTGTTCCTCATTTATTTTTAAAGATTTATGTATGCATACAAAAGCTGGGGTCTAGGCCAGAGATATGGAGGGGAAAATGGGGAGGGTGAGAGGATTCACCAGAGAGTGGGGAGCAGAACAGGCATACTGAGGGGAGCAGTGGAAAGAGAGGAGAGGTCTGCTGCACCATGCAAGTCACCTCCCTGGCTGGGAACCGAACTCGTGCTGCTGGGGCTACAGATAGTTTCATAGTGCTGCGTCTTAACCTCTTGCACCACCAGGAAGTCCCCTCGTCCTCATTTTTAAGTGCTAAATATTTATACCATCACACTAGACTAGAGATTATCTGAAATAGAGAGGCAGGGTACAAGCCTTTTTTGAGTTCTGAACCCCTCCTGATCTCTAGCCTGTCATTACACTGTATCATAATCAGTATCACATGTTCTGCAAGTAGTTAGTAAATGTTCACTGATGTCCTACATTCATTTACTCTTATTCTTTTGTTTTTCCCTGCTTAGTCTTTATGATCAATATTGTACTTCTCTTTACTTAACAGACAGTGTGGAGCATTCATTATTAAGACAACTGGGCAGCTCTAGTCCATCTCAACTGATATCTTGTTCAATGATCCTTGTGTGACCGAGATCCAGCTTCAACAAATCGGCTAGAAGCTGCCCATTGTGAAACTTAGGGTTAGTTAATACCTTGCCATTCTATTTATTCCACTATTAGCTTTCTAAATTTGATGAAATTTTCTTTTTCAGCTATTTTGCAAAATTATTTAGGTAGATGTGGCATGTTGGCTTTTTTATGTGTTGATCTAACTGTAGTCACATTCTCCACATGTTTTATCCATTCCATAAATAATAACCACATTGGGAATAGTGAGGTGTCTTTCATTTGCTTTGCTTTGTGTTATTTCTTTTCTTCTTAACATTTTAGATGTTATGTTTCATATTTTTTGCTATTTAATATTTAGACTAAGAATTACTTTTAATTTTAATAGAATTTTAAGTTTGTGCATTTAAGTATATAGTGCATTTAGTTTTAATGATTCAGTTCTACTTTCTAGTTTTGTGGTTTACTATGCTTTTGCCTAATTTTTATTTGTTGCTGGTACTGTTTAATTTTGCTTCTTCCATGGTTTTCAGAATCTGAGTAGCATTTATACTTTTTATAACATTTTCCAAATATTAGAAATACCATCAATATGATCATTTTTGTTGCCTTTCCATATGATCGATTACATTAAATTTTTTCTCTAATGCTTGAGATAATTCTACAAGCTTCGTATAGTAGTAGCCACTTGGTACCAAATTGTATATAATATGGATCCCCTAATAGAATTGTTGTGATAGTAAAACAGCTCACCTCTGACATGATTTCATGATATTGACACTCCACTATATTTTAGTGTTCTTTGAATGCTTTAGTCTTTTGAATCTTTTCCACTTACATATTACAATATATTCAATTATACCTGTTGCTAATTTGTATTTTCTAATTTATTTTTATTTTTTATATCATTTTTCATTTTGTGTGTTTTTTTCATCATAGTTGTAATCCCCATGGACATGTTACTAACTTTTAAAAGGACAATTGTTTTTATTAAAAACAAAGGTATATCTTAATACCAAATGAAAATTTTAGATTCCAAATCTAAAGCTAATTTTTATCATAAAATTATAAAATAAATGGGGAGGTAAAGCCATTGTTCAAAAGTTACAGAACAAATTATAAGAGTTTCTATCACTAAAATTCCTAAAGTAATATAAAAACAACCCTAACTTTAAAAGAGAAAGCCATAAATACTGGCACTACCCTAGTATATCTCCTTTCTCCTGTTCTACCCCCAGAAACAGTCTGTGATCAAGAGCAAAAATAAAAAAAACGTAGACCCCAGTGTTTTCCCGGTGAGTCCAATAGCGCATTTCTTTGAAAACCCAAATGATATGTTAACTAATCAAATTGTTTCACTAGAATAACATGACTATATGAATATATAAATATATACTAGCATTCAAGGTACATTAATTATTCTCAGTTTCTAGAAATGTAAATAGAATAAGTCCCACAATGAAATTTCAAACGGTTTTGTTATGTAAATAAAAACTATTAAACCACTGATGTTAAAGATTTTCTTTTAAGAGCACTATACTTGAGACTGAAAAACATTAATGTTTTGATTTTCATGTTAAAAATGATGCTAAACAAGTTCTGGACTCCTAATAATATATTTTTGGGTAAGGAATTTTGATGATAATGTTAGCCAAGTGTGTTTCTTCCACACAGTTGTATAGACTATATGCAAAACGTATGCATGTATGAGTTATATGCGCACACACTTACACCTACACACATATGCATATAGATAATTCACACTTCATAAAATTAAGCTTTATTTTCAAAAGCTATTCAAAACTGTGGAATTTATTGTCAACCTAAATATATGGATGACATCATCAGCTTTCTTCATGACTTAGCTTGATAGCCCAAACATGTTACTTCTAAAAACAAATTGCGAGGACAAAATTCTCCTTAATTATAGTAATAAAAATCCATTTTTTATAGGCTGTATTCTACAGAAATTTTGAAAAGTGTTTACTTATTTAGTACCCATTTTGAAAGACTACTTTTAAGATATCTGAAATTCTTTCTCTATTTAGAGTGAAATGGGTAATACAAATATTCATGTACCAAAATCACAAGGTAGTAACTTCTCAAACTGTTTTCCAAAATTCTCTAATGTAATCAAAGATCGGTAGATGGTAGCATGTCAAAAGATAAAGGAGCTCAGAAAATTAATACTTTTACTTCCTCTGTGACCTGACTTCAGAAGGATGCTTTGAAAAAGAGGTATGATTGTTCATAACATTACTTTATAAATTTCTGCCAATAACAGCAGTACAATGTTGTCAAACAAATTTATACATGACAATGCCCATAAATAACATTTTCTGGATGTATGAATTAAAGTCACATATACAAAAATTCTTTATTTCCCAGAAGTAGTGATTCAATAGTATTAAAATACAGAATGCAAAAGCATAGATAAGACTTTAGGAGAGCATCCAATCCAACATTGATAGATGCCCTGTTATAGTAGTAAATTGTTAGTCCCTATATCTATACTTTGACTACAGAATTACTCTAAAATCTTTATAGGGAGATTTTATAAAACTTTACCCAAAGAATATAAAAATTCATAATTGGTTCTGTTCTTTTACCTATATAGTCAGCATTTTCATTTATGTGCATAAATTCCAAAAAATATCTTAGTTCCTACCCTTCCAGTTTGAATACCACTGACTGGTAACTACAGTGGCTGCTGTTTATTGGACCAGTTATATGTATTTCTCTTTGTGCTTTTACATTTGCATGAATTTAACAGTTTCTGCGTTCTCCTGATTCCTCACAAATAAGTGCTATCCTAGATCACTTGTTGTATTTCACATCATTATGTTTTCTTTCTTCTTTACATGAGCCATAATTCTCCTTCATTTTTCAATACACTAGTTTCATGGTTAACATGTTTTTATGCTCCTTTCTAACCTATCAGTATCTGCAAATGGAAAATGCCAGACAGATTTCAAACTAGTAAACTGGCAGATATAAGGATTTCCAGGTTTATTCTTTTCAGTCATGTTACTTAAATAGTATCAACTAATATAATACCAAGCCTGATTGTACAGTGAAGATACATGGTAGCGGGACAAATAATCCTTAAGACATTTTAGTTAGACCAGTGAGTGATGACATTGATTTTTAAAACATGTAATTTAAAATTTTTCTATCTGTGGATTTATCAGTTTTCCTCACTTGAATAGATATTTGTTAGTTATAAGAAGTCAATATTTACTAATATTTTGTTTAATAATTTCTAAATGAACCTAGTATGTTAACCACCATTTTTATTTGTATCAAGATGTATACCCATGTATATACCCATCTAGTATTTCTCTGTAGGGAATATGAGTCATAAACATCTTGTACTTTTGGAAAACAGAAATGTGACAGGTTGACCCTCTACTTGATGATAAAGCCCTTGCCTTCCTTCCCTGAAAAGTGTGTCTAACTGGTTTTTGTGAGAGGAAAGTTGGTGGACCGAGATCCTTTTATTCGGGATGTCCCTATAAAATTCCACTGTGCCTGTAGGTAGAAAGAATTTTTATTAAGAAAGCCCTTTGACTAGATACTTCATTTCCTTTTTTGTAGAATGAAGGAGATAAAATTTCTGAAAGTCCCTCCTTCCTCCTCTCTATGGGGAAATAATGCTTTGAAACCATGGTAGTTTTTTTTTTTTTAATTGTTATTTTGCTTTATGAAAAGAGTAAGATTTCTTTTCTGAATTGTAAAGACTTCAGAGTAACTGCCTCAAAGTTCTTACCATTTATTTTCCTCCTATAACTTACCAGTGACAAATTTTATGGCATTTTCTGTAGGTTTTCAATGCATTTAAAAAACAGTTGTCCATTCAAAATATTCCAAACTAAAGATCAAGTTGTACTCTTCCTGTCCCATTAATTCCCTAAGCCTACCATTTGTCCTCTTTTAATCTGAAAAGAATTTCCAACCTATTCACCTGAAAATTCTCTTTTCCAGATTGTTCTTCAAGTGCCATATCCTTATTGTTTCAATCAATTTTTAAAAATTGAGTGTGCTGATAAGAAAGGCTAAATTCCATGTAAAATTCCTCCCTTCTGGTTATTAACCATTCTTAAGACACTCTTCTTTTCTATTTTGGATAGAATTTATCCACATTTTTGTTTAACCTAAGTCTTATCCATGGAATTCTGTTAATATTTTTTGACTGAAAATGATAGGGCTTATTAATATTTACTATTATACCTTATTTATGTACTACAATTTCTGCTTTAATGTTCAACTATCATTGTAAACCAGAAGAAGTGCAATCAAGCATACTTAATTTTGAAAGAGCTTTACCCCATACCCGATCATATTATTAGTGGTATTTAAATTCACAGGGTATTTCCCACAAAGAAAAGTCTGCATTGGACTAAATACCTAATAATTCTAACTCTAATTCTAAATTTAGGAAATGAAAGCAAGAGAAAAAAGGATTTTCCCCTGCCGAAAAATAAGGTTGAAAAGAATACGTATTAAACCAAAAAACTAAATCTAATTAACATGAAAATATTTCAGGCAATGCGTTGATTTAAGGAATCTTATTTAAACACAGCTAACCCATACTTAAAATTGTATTCTTGGTTTTCACAGCTTCTTTCCTTCTATTTCTGAATCCACTGGTACTCTAAAAGCTCCCTCCATGTATTTAACAGTGATTTATAATGACAGTGTAAAGATTTTCAAAGTAGAGAGGAGTGGAAGGAAAGAGAGAACCTGGGTACCTTTTGCTTGAACTTGGAATGTTATACTAATTTAATCCTCAACTTCTTTTGCTTTCTAAATTATAAAACTATAAAAAGGAATTTTTTAATTAAGCAAAGGGTTACCTTTGTATCTAATCCCTAAAGAGCAGATGAAGCTAGAAAGAAAGCTAACACACATGGTTTTATATATCTTCTTCTTGATTTCAAAAAGTTGACCCCATTTCCTCAAAGGATTTCACAGCTGAAACCCTAGGTAATAGTGAAAAATACAGATATTTGTATTACATTTTAGCAAATTCGCATTTTTGAAATAAAAAATTATTTCAAAGATTCTGGTTCGACTATAAATTTAACACTGTACAACTAATTTAATCTATTTGCTTGCTACCTAAAAATTACTTCCTAAGTCATCATAACCTTTAGTTAAAATTATACACCCATTAAAGAAAATTCAGCTTTCCTTATTTTCTTCTAGTTGAAAAAAATATCCAAAATTCATTCTAAATATCATCTCCTTATATATCACCCATTTAGCCTTTGTTGTTAAACATCCCTCAAAGCAAACATCTTATGCTGTAAATAAAAATAACCAACAATATAGTTTTCTCTGCTATCATTAAATCTTAGGTTATACATTTTCAAAAGAATCTTGTTTCTGTTACTGATAAGTGCCTTTTGGGACCTCCCTGGTGCACAGGGTTTAATCTCAACTATCAAGCTATCGCCAGCCACTGGCCTGTTTTGATCCTGGCCAGGGAGGTGTGACCCATTGTGGCATAGCAGACCTCTCCTGTCTCACCCACTGCTCCCTCAGTAGTGTGTTCCGCTCCCCACTCTCTGGTGATTCCTCTCACCCCCTATTCCTCTGGCCTACACCCCAGCTCTTATATGCATAAATAAATCTTTAAATACAAAAACTTTAGGGAATTAATAAAATACCATTTGTTCTATTTTCATAAGACAAGCTTGTAATTAGTCTCTAGGCAGGCATAAGAATGTAACATCTTTTCTGAGATCATTACATTCTCAGAGACCTAGCAAGTTCCAAAATGAATTATAGCTTAACCTTTTCTGAAATACATGATTATATGGGTTCAGAATCAGGAATTCTACAGCACACATTTCCTC